GGCACAACGGGGCGAATGAGTTCCGTAAAAAAAAACAATCGGTGAGCGCCCCTCTGCCATTCCAAGTGTTTGAGGCATTCATACCCTCTTCCATGCAGCCCGCAATTCACTTGCTTGATAATGGCCACAAGGTCGGCCATTCCAAAATAACTGCACAAGAATATGCTGACTACTGCACTTGCAATTTAAAATGGAATAAAAATGTGCTCAGTAGCGGCCATCGGCATATGACAAGAAGCAAAGAAAATCGCTCCACAAGATGCGTGAACGAAAAAAGATCAACAATCGACGAAACGCTTCCTTTCCTTTGTCAGTAGACGTGGCAAAGAGAGCAATTTCCCACAAAATGAGAGCACGGAGATAACTTGCTTGCAGCATCTCTGGAAAATACGACTGTATATGCAAACAAACCCCAGAACTCACTGTGAAATCACCGCACAACCAAAATGACCACTTTTTCTGATCGCAGCCTACATAAATGGCTACAGAGATTCTCACTGAGTAACCCCGTTGCTCCCATACAGGAGTCAGCCTGAGATTGTGCTTGTCCACAAAACTACCCGAAAAATCCACATGTGTTTGAAGGTGTACGCCTCAGTTCCGATCTCGGCCTCGTGAAATCCGGCGCACAGTGTACACAGAAGCCGCAGGGCAGCTGCCGAGGGCAAGCAGAAATTGTGCACGGAAGGAACTGTCTGGCCAAAACGATAGAGCGAAAACTGCCCATACCACAGATGACTGTGAGGTTTGTGGCAGTAAAACTTTCTCTTTTGCAGGCGCGCGGCTCTCGCCAATTCATGCGCACACATTTGGTGGTAAACTCGAATCCAAACGGCAGGATAGGTGAATAGGCGAGAGTAATAGGCAGTTGCGTTTTGTGTGTGTGTGTCCCGCAGAATGGGTGCTAGATCCCATGCCGTCAAATACCGCGGCATCCTGTGAAGAATGATATCACTGCAATATGCGGCTAATGGGGGCGGAGAGATGGGTGCGAGATGTGTATGATGAGTGTTCACAAACGCTTGTACTGGGGGTGATGTGGCGTCTGAGTGAGCTACAAAGTTAAAAAAAAGACAGTCACCCCCTCATTTTCAGCATATCTGTGTGCACGCTTGCAATGTCGAGCTGTTGAGGTCGCCGTTCTAAAAGTGTTATTTCAGTTCGAAAATTGTTGGGATGGAAGGTATGGAAAAGCCTTCTCAAACACTTTCGTGACGCTTTAAGACCGGCAAACCATCTTCACTACGTCCTGTATTCTGTCCTGCGCTAACCAAAAAATAGGGTTCTGAAGACGACACTGACTCCTTTTTTGCACGAACGTAAACAGGGTCATGAGGCAGGGAAAAGATGGATAATATAAACCAGAGGTCCGGTCAAGAAACAATTCTCTACGGACGGGCGCATTAGCCTTGGGCAGAATATTCACAAAGGAGTTGCATGCTGCCGGAATGAAAACAATGTGGCGGGTTCTGTCTGCCCCTAGGAAAGGCAGAGTCCATAAGAAGTAGAAGCGATCGCTGGGACAAGAGCTTTATTTGCCTGACGTTTCGGATTCTCGCTCGAATCCACCACCAGAGAAAGGGACAGAAACGGGTCAGCGGGTTCACATTAATTGCATTTTACGGATGCATTACAAGTCAACGCCATAAAAACTACGAGCTTGCACCTAGGGACTGCAATTTTCCGAGCGCTTACGTTTTTGGCCGTTCGAGTGCAAAACTTTCCGAAAAAACGTCCACCAAAGTTAGACAACTAACAGTGATTTGCAATGAATATTAGTTGATGGAGCTTTTACACCCTCTTAAACGCATTACCACACAGGACATGAGCAAAAAGTGGAAGAAGAAGAAGAAGAATAAGAAGAAGAAGAAGAAGAAGAGGAAGAAGAAGAAAGATAGGAGAAGCAGGATGCAACGTCAATGCTGGCAAAAGGAACCTCCAGGTAGGATAGAAAATACCGCCTTATATTCCACTGTCCGAGGAGCTCACAGCAGAATAAAACAGGCTTCTGAAGGATATGAATCTTCATGCTGACAGAAAGCCATTGTGAAATGACAAGCATGGACAACCGAGGCTCTCCAGGGATAAGCAATTCATCATTGTTAACCCCACAATCCGATTGAGCTTACAGCCCCGTCACTGCGCATGTACCCTATATAACTTGAAAAAACATATTAGCTTACGGTGGGGAAATCGATAGTTGTACCTACTTGGACGCCCTGTTAATCCTGAAAATGTCAAAGAGCAGCTGGGACTAACAATGATTCCCGAGTAGTCGCTGACAGGACTGCTCGAACGGTCTCAATAGCGCCTCATTTTATGTCGGTAAGTGTGATCTCAAATGCGGATCTACACAAATCCCAACCCGTGCCAACTTCATCTTATAGTGGCGTTATATGCTGTATCTCTTAGGAGTATGTAAAATGGTATTTTTCTGACATCATATGATCTGCAGCGATTTAAGGAATGCAGCGTGCAGCATGGGAAATGAACGGTTTGCGAAGACTCCGCTGCGACCCGCTGCCAAACGAAAGCACCAGAAATATTTGCTAGAACTTCTCGATCCTCACAGTGTCACCTGTTAAGGCGTCTGCTGCACTCCGAGCCCGCATCCGGCCTTCTTGACTCTGCCCTGACACCGGCTTAGAAGTGTGAAAGAAAAAAGAATGCAGTATGTTCAGTTCAAGTCACTGTCCCTGGGCCCGTACTGTTGTGGGACGCAAGGTAGACAAAATCGCTAAAGACGATTGCCCTATCTGTGCTTATCCGCTTAGCATCTCTCCAACTGGCATTGGGTTCACTTTCCTGAACTCAGTCATCTGCGTGTAGTAGGTACTTGTGCTGACAATGGCCCGTCAGTTTCAGGTCATGACCTCGTGGCTGCACGCGATTTACCACTGCCTCTCGCTTAAAAGTCGTCCACCTCCTTCCCAACCAAAGAACATTTGCAAGTTTCTGTCAGACAGCTCGGATGGAGTTCGGATGATCCGGTCAAATTCTAAAATAAACTCTTTTTGACTAGATGCTATTGAGAGTTCGAAATCATCTATCGCAATGCCTCAAGAAATCTAAACGACCAAAGGAAGAGAGGACTATCTGGACTAGCGTTACCCGGGCAATCTTTGACGAATTCCCGAGCTTTTACGAGGCACACATGTCAGACTTGATTTCGTCACTCTTTGCAGCCTCCAACTGGAGCTTCCACAAACGCCCACGTAGCTATGAACGATGAATGATCGATAACTGCTGATAGAAGCGAACAGGCGAGTTACAGGTAGCGGTTCAGATGATGAAGATGCGATCGCTGGAACAGGAAAGTTATTGGCCTGACGTTTCGGATTCTCACTCGAATCCATCATCAGAAACATTCGCAGATAAAGGTGATGGTGGCACCAGGAGCGCAGTATTTATAGCACGTGGCTGCCGCGGATCGTATGCGCACTGCAATTAACAGTTCTCGCAATCACCGCTGGGGTCCTAATTGATGCGGTAGTGGCTTGTCTGTCCGAGTCCGATTCGTTAATGGCCGCGATTTCGTCATCCGTGCTGGATGCTGGTGTGACGATTGCTCGGCAAATTGGCTCACTGTCACTGTAATAATTGCTCGCCTGAGCCCTCCCAACGTGACTGATTCTCCTGCCTAGGAAAAATCGCAGCACGGAATATGGTACCGGGAGGTCATTGTGCTTGTTGATTGATTGCGGGCCTGAGAACCACGACTCGAGCAGCTCGCGGCTCACGCGGTTGTCACGCCTTGCGAGAATTTCGGCCTCTTGAAATTTGAAAATATGGCTGGGTTCTGTCGAGTGTGCCGCCACCTGAGAGTTAGCAACTCCCCGCCTCACTGCTGCTGCGTGCTCGGCAATTCGCATACGGAGTAATCTCCCAGTTTCTCCGACATAGTTGCTTTGTCCGCAACTACACCAGATCCGGTAAACGACTCCAGACGTTTCCTGCCGTGGCAACGGGTCTTTTGGCCTCATGACTTGGCGCCCAATGGTTGCTTCTGGCCTGTGTGCAACCCCAACTCCAAGTGGAGTGAGAAGACGACTGACAGCTTTCGAGACGTTCTTCACATACAGAAGAGACCGCCAAAATTGGGAGCCGGTTGGATTTGGCCTCTGGTGTCCTTTTTGTATGCACTGGTTGACAAAGTTGAGCGGGTAACCATTGGCTATCATTATCCGTCGAAGATATTTTAATTCAGTAACCTTGTCTTCCAAATCACTGCAGTGTGTCTCAACGCGCCGGTATAGCGCCCTTACGGAACTGCGTTTGTGACTGATCGGGTGGTTGTTATTGAAGTTCAGTGTTTGCGTCATATTTGTCGCTTTTCTGAACACTTTGGTTTTTAGGCCATCACAGTCTTTGCGGCAGACGAGGACATCCAGGAAGGCAAGCTGATTGTTTTCCTCCTCCTCCATCGTAAATTGAATGTCCGGGAAGACGGCGTTGAGATGTTCTTTGAATGTCAGCACCTGATCCCGTTCGATGACGACGAAGGTGTCACCCCCATACCGAGACCAGAATTTCGGTCTGTGGTGTCGGAAAACCAGCGATTACAGCCGTTGTAGGACCGCCTCGTCTATGAGTCCCGAAATCCGCGAACCCATTGGCGTTCTCTTCACCTGCTCGTAGATTGTTCCGTCGAACGTAAAGTATGTCTTGAGACAGAACTTCAGGAGCTGGATGATTTGGGTGTGTCCGTTTCGTCGTATTTCTCTGGTAGGAGTAGTTCGATGGTCTCGACTGCCAGGTCCTGCGGGATAGAAGTAAAAAAGGGACGTGACATCAACGGAAACCATGACATCGCTTGGCAGGAGACTTACTCCCTTAAGTTTCTCCAAGAATTGCGTTGACGAGCTGACAGTGGTGCTCGAATCGGAGGTCAGAAAATTGAGACGTTGGAACAGCCACTTTGCCAGTCCGTAGGTTGGAGTGCCCTTTAGTGATACGATAGGCCGGAGAGGAGCGCCCTCTCAATGCACTTTTGGGAGACCTTAGAATCGGGCTAGGGCCATTTCTTTTGCTCTCGCCATGCGTCGGTCGATTGGCGATATTGCACCCGAGTCCTCCATTGCCAACAGCGTCGCGTTAATCTCGCGTTTCAGCGTTTTCATGTTGTTGGATTCGCATGGGACATAAGACTGACGATCCTCCAACAAGCTTTTGGCTTTTTGATTGTAGTCTGTCCTGTCCAATACGACCGTTGAACGCCCCTTGTCCGCAGGCACGATAACGAGGTCGTTGTCGGCCCTGAATTCCTTTAGTGCATCGCGCTCGACCTTGGAAAGCACGTCGCGCGGCCTATGAGTCGTGAGGAGGGAGAACACTTGGTGTCGAATGAGGTTCTTCGTTTCGTCTGTCACTCCCGTCTAGCTGAGGATTAATTCCACTGCTGCGATCATCTTGGCAGCTTTGGCATCGGCTGTGTTGAATGAGGCCTCATGCCGTAAAACCTGCATTTGTTCCTCCGTCAGCTCCTTTGACGACAAGTTGTGCACCAGTTTGTCGTTCTTGGATGACATTGGAGCAGGCAGCTTACGAAATTTGCTCTCTAGGGCTGCTTCACGCGTTGCTTTATGTTTGCGGGTTCGTTCGGCCAGCCTCTGCTGAAGCAGGTTTATGCCGTCCTCGCCCATGAACTCGCAGAACCTTGCTTTTTCTTGGTCAATACTCTGACGATATTTGCTAATCCGTGAGTGAACGCCTTGAAGGAGTACTCAGATCATTCGTCGGCCGTGCTGAAGCACCGCGCGTCTCGCCAGCTCTGTGTTGACCGGAGGTTTGTGTGAAACACACTTCGGCAGCACATTGTTGTCGAGACACCTGTGCAGAAATCGAATCTACGCATATGTAGGTTGGGTCCTGTCACAAGGTAGGGGGGAGCGAAGGCGGCGGCGACGCGAAGACCTGCATGAAGTTAATCGATCCTGGCCCACGGTAGGCGCGGAGCGTGCAAGACGTTCTTCCGGCCTCTGTAGCCCGATGGCAGTTGCCTCCGTTGTTGCTAGCAGGCGCTGACCCAGTCGCTTAGGTTGGTTAGGTGGGACCCTGTAAATCACAGGGAAGGCTTCGTTGGGATCCACACGGGACCCAGATGGATGCAGCTGTGTATGCTCTTAACTTCACCCTTCCTCAGCCATGTCAGCAGGTGTTTTCGTATTCTTGCAGACAGGCGCCGACTCGTACGAACAATGTAGCCTGCGCCATAGGAGCAAGTAAAAGAGTAAATGCGCATGGAGGTGGTCTGAGCTGGTGGCCTATCCCTACCTTCCCCGCTTAAGACGGGGTTAGTCGAAAATAATACTTGAACTCTTGCTGCTGGGATGGTCCGTGAAACGGCTTGGTCAAGACGCCTTCTCAGGAGCTCCCTCACCGCGTCCCCTTGAAAGGGGACGGACTTTACGTGATTGATCGGATAAGCCTTCGACCACACAATTGCCTCATGAAGGTGTTGGGGGAATTTCTCATGAATGCGGATGCAGGTACATCCGGCCATTGCAAAGGGTACTGATAACGCGGTCGATTAAGCATGTTACAATTTCCACCGAGCGTAGAAAAGGCGATACAAACACAATCAGCAGAGGCAAGGATTCGTTTAATACCCCCAGGACATTGGCCCAAAATCTACCCTTCGCATTTCGATGTTGTTCTTTCCATGATAGGTTGAGCACCCTACATCACAGTGCTAAAAGTATGCGTCACATCAACACTTGAATATGACGGTTATTATTATATCCAAGTTTGTCGAGTTTTGGACCAATGCAGTCAGTTTTCTCTTATTATTTCGCATTATAGTACGAACCTTTCATTAACAGTTTCTACGTTATCGTATTTGGCTGATTTAATTTCGATTTATGACTGGGTCAGATAACACACCCAAAGGCGGGGCCGTGTGCTTTGCCCTAATCGTCTCCCTGTCCTCCACAACCCTACTTTGACGTGATAATCGATCTTCAATCACCCAGACCCCTTGTTTGTATTTACAATGTCATCATGCCTCGCTTTCGATCTTATCAGACGTCTTGACGAGCCACAACAAGATCTGCTCACGATTAATGCTATTAAATTATTTCTTTCCGCTCGCCTCTATGTCGGCAGTGGAAACGGTGGTCATCGTGTGATTTGTGAACTAAAATCGCAGACCAATTTTAAGTTGGTCATTTTTCTGAGAAGGCTCAGTTCATTAACAGCGCTTCAAGGGAATAAAGTTTCGTAATCCCGACTTAAAAAACATTCTAGGGTCTGTAATTGTCATACCGTACACTGTAGGTGTTAAGTCAGTACAGCCACTATAGTGCGATATTTACTTATCTTTCACCATGTTTAGAAACATTGTGCATTACAGATCTTCTGGGCAAGAATGACTCGAGCATCGGTCATCTTGGCAACAATGTGCATATAAAAAAGTATACAATGACTGCTCGGGAACCCCGTTAGTTCCAGCTGCCCGTTGGTGTTTTCGCATTAACAAAGTGTCTAATTTGTAGTAGCCTCCCTCCTTAGCCCTGACAAAGTATATTTTCATGAAGTACTGTAAATCGCAAGTCCTATCTCCGGTTTCAAGACCGGACCGTTTAGGAAGTTGGCCGTAGGGACTTTCTTATCCTTGAAATTCGACTTAACCCAAGGGCAAAATCAGGAAATAGGTACGTCCCCTGGATTATGCGGTGAGTTATTCAATTAAGCTACAAGAACCCCCTTCTCATATTAATGTCACAGGATCTGTAAATCCAGGAATTTTCAAAAACACGTGTGGGCGCTCCTTAGTCCATGTTCATAAGCGTCCAACCTCCTTTTGTTACCACGACGACCTATATTCTTACAAAACCCTTTTAATTTCCTCATACAGACCGAACTCTTCGACCTTGCTTCTTCTTCTTCTCCTTCCGCTTAGTGTCCTTGCCTTATGTAGTAATGCGTTTGAGAAGATGGAGAGGCTCTATTGGATAGTACTCCTTGCTGAATACTGTCCCTCATCCAACTTCGGTGGAAGTAGTTTTCAATGAGTTTTTGCACTTTAGCTAACATCGGGCACGAGAGTGTGTCCTACCTTGGTTTGTTAACGTATCATACTTTTGTTATAGAAGACAGCCATTCTTAGAATTGTAGTTGATAGGTCTGTGTTTGCAGTTTTCGCAGTTTCAACCTCTAGTTAACAAGTAAAACGCAGTGTATGTAAATCCGCCAACTCTTTTTTTCTTGGGTGCAGATGGATTCCACTCGCAGATCCTTTGTCCCGGATAGCCGGAAATTGTTGTCGAACAAGCCACAGACAAATCCGTCTGTCTGTAGGAAAGTGAACCTTGCCCAGACGTTCGACCCTTTTTTCTCTCTCCCTCTCTCTTTCTCTATATATATGTGCTGGAAAACGGGCATCCCAAGAAATTTACTTGAGAATAAGTATGATTCTTTGGGAAGAGAATAAACTTTAATGCGTAAATTTTCGAGACTGGTTCTCCAGCTCGTCGTCAGACTTTTGGGCTATGTACAAAAACAGTTTACTATTTAACCTGTCGAACAAGTGAATCTATGGTTGGCCGAAGCCTACGAACCCTTGGATGTTGACCCCACGAAATCACAGAATTTATGCATTGAAAAGATACTAAAGCGCCTTACAGGAAAGAAATTAATCTCAGGAGCTCTGGTTAAATCCTTAAAACAGGACGAACCCACAATTGCCAAGATACATGGACTTCCTAAAGTTCACAAAATAGGTATTCCACTCCGACCGATAGTCTCCTTAATCGGTGCACCAAACTACAAAATTTCTAAGTGGCTATTTCACCATCCTGCATCCACTTACAAAGGACTCTGAGAACTCAATCGAAGATTCAAATGAGTTTCTAGACAAACTAAACAGAGTGAGTGTTGCAACCGACGAGATAATGGTTTTATTCGATATAGTCTCCCTCTTCACCTCAATTCCATTAGATTTAGCGAGACACTGCGCCGAGAACTCCTTCAGACCTACACTACCGATGTACCTGCCGACGCTCTACTCCAACTACTTGATGTTTGTCCAGAAGCCAACTTTTCTTTCGCTAAACAATGTTATCGGTAACTGAAAGGTGCTCCTATGGGTTCGCCTATATCTGCCGAAACTGATCTCAGATAGAAAGTTATCAAGCTGAGATGAAATGTCTTTTCAAATTATTTTCGCACAACGGGTACCCGCGCCATTTTGTACGTCATTGCATGAAGCATGAGTTTAAACTGAAAGGGTAGGATGGTAGTTGGTAGCCCTGCCCACTGATTCTACAATTGTACTTTCTGGCTCGATTTCAAGCTCTGTGATTACGTTCTCATCATGCCTGAGAGTGCACGCACAGAAGCCCTGTCAGGATGACATTCTTCTTCACTTTAACCGCCCCCAGAACGAGGCGCTGCAAAAATGTCTATATAGATTCATTGTATTGCACCCCTACACGGAAAAATTTAGTAAAGGGCGAAAGATTTATTCTAGGCGGATTATGATTCATCATGCTTCTCATTATGCTTCTGATTGCATGCGCGCACTGTGTTAACTGTATCTGATTCATTTTAGAGGTACTATCCTAGGCTGCATACCACATTACCCAGATGTTACCTGAAGGCATAACCATCCGTGTGCTGTCGCAGTATTTTTAAGGGCATGGCCTTTCGACATATACATAAGACCCTACAGGTCAGCAGTCCTTTCTGCTGGAGATACTGCACTAGGTAGGACGACTGGATTATTTCCAGGATCCGCGAATAATCTATCGGCCTATCCACTTGCGGTCCTGCTTTCCTTCGCCTTCTAAGAGACTGGGCTCTGCAAGCAGAACAAAGTGTAACTTCATAAACAGAGTGCTAATTCCTCTTTACATTGTATAGTACACCATTCACGTATAGCAAACAACCACTGCCATAGTTTTAATCCTAGATGTGGCCACAGTGACAATACACTATTATTTGCAGATTTCCTCTTTCGCCCAAACATATTTTTTCGCATCAAAGTCTTATTCCGCTTGCTTTATGCCGTCCTGCGTGCCGCTGCTTGACTCGTGTTCTCATGTCCATTCTGTCGGTTAGAGTACTATCGCACATACTGCGGAATGACCTTAAGACACGCTGCCTTCTTCCTATTGGTTGTTCGCCTTCACTTGTTATTCTTTTCAATCGGGGCAAGGATGCATTTATTCCGCATACCGTACTAAGTATCCATGCTTATTTCTATACCCTCCTTGCATTTTTCACCTTATTTAAATTAGGCTTCCACTTTGCCAGGAACGTCACTTCCAGGCATACCCTACAAGCGTCATTTACGCCTCCACTTATCTGCCCCACCTGCATAGCCCCTATTACCACCGGTCCCGTAAGACAGGTAGCTGGGAGATTTCGGTACCGGGAGGGCTACCAACTACCATCTAACCACAGAAAGGCATTTCGAAAACAACGGCCACCCAGGCACCAAAAACATTCGTCTGACGGACCCTCCCATACGTGAAAAATGCATCTGAACTCGTCGAAAGACAGATGAATAAGCAACAGATACAAGTAGCACACCAACCTACAACCCCCTTGCGTACACAGCTTGTACATCCTAAGGACAGGGTTTGGTACCTCGATAGGAAAGGTGTTGTCTACAAAATACCGTGTTCCAATTGTGATGCCGTCTATTGTTGCCAAACTGGGAAATCTGCCTCTACCCGCATACATGAGCATCAGTTAGCGGTGAAGAGACGAGACCATCTATCCCAGGTGACTATGCACACACTGGACACTGGACACAAATTAGCATGGGAGAACGCCCGCATTGTTGGCGCCTGCCCAATAAGGAAAGGCCGCGAATTCCTGGAGGCAATGCACTCAGATGAGGCATGCATCATTCGGCACATCGATTTAGATGCCACATACAAATTTCTTAAGGACAAATGGAAGCGAGCGCAACCAATGCCGAGAGGATGACGAAACTCATTGACGCGCATTGGCGCAGGCTTCAGCCAGCCATAGATTCACTTTTTCGACACGGTTAAATAGTTAATTGTTTTTGTACATAGCCCAAAGGTCTGGCGACGAACTGGGGAACCAGTCTCGAACATTTACGCATTAAAGTTTATTCTCTTCCCAAAAATGGTACTTATTCTCAATACACATATATATCTCTCGCCACAGAGTTCCCTTCGCCTCGTGTCTAAATTTATGCTCACTGACGTCTCCAGACAGCCATCTTTGACCTGCGGACAAAATACAGCACACAGTGAGGACGGACTATTAGTTTTAAAACAGCAAGAGGGCGTTTGCAGTCTTTTTCGGTACGCCTTCTATCAAACTAATTTTCCGACTGAAATAATGCTTTTTCAGAACGGGTGACTTCAAACTCACGACACCGCAGGTGTGCCCACGTGTAGGAAGAAATGGAAAATGAAGGTTTTTTAGACTTTAAAACACCTTCCGATTTCATCACCGTCCATTCCGCCACCTGCCCTTCCTCCGGTACAGTGGTTTTTCGACTCTCACTAGGCATGCTTGCGCGCACCTCGGCAGACTCATTTCTCTTCGCCCCCCGTCCCCTCCCCTCCATCAGACGCATAATGCAACTACGGCATCCGTCACTGGAGGCCGCGATACTCGACTGCGTGGGATCTACCTTGCCTACTGTGAGACACGGGCATACACAAACCCGCACACACGCGCACAAACAGAATGCAACTGTCTATTACTCTAGCCGATTCACATATCCTCTCCTTTGGATACGAGTTTGTGTGCGCGTGAATTCGCGAGAGCCGCGTGCCTGCAAATGGGAAAATTCCACTGCTGCAAACTCCACAGGCAGTTACGATAGGTGGAGTTTCGTTTTACCTTCTGGGTCAGGCAGTTGCTGTCCTTCGTGATTCCCGTTTGCGTCCAACAGATATCCGGTTGCTTCGGTATACATTGTACGCTGAATCTCATGAGGCAGTGATAGAAATTTGTTCAGGCATTTTTAGGTGCACCGGACTGTTTGCGCAGTTTTTAAATCTGACTTGTGGGAAAGCACAATATAAGGCCACTCTCTGTACTGTGGCAAGCTTTTACTTTAGTGACGACCTCTGAACCCTCTGTGTTGACTGTGATCCGAGAACGTAATCACACCAGCGGAGCGGTATTTCGCCATGCGTTTTTGGCTTTATATACATTTAATCATATTTTCCGGAGAAACTGCTAGTGAATTTCGCAGATTACTTTTTCTGCCAAGGGAGGGAAGCGCTCCGTCTATTACTGAACACTGTTCACGCCTGTTTTTTCACGGTACTATCTGCGCATCCAACAGTCGTGATTTTCAGCGAGGTGCTGATTATTTCTAATGCGAAAAGTTAACTGCCTTTTATATTGCGGCACAGTAATCCGCTGATCCTTGTACAACTGATTTGAAGTGGTCTGTCTTGCGGCTAGTTTTAACTACCTAGTGAATTGCGGCCACATGGGTGATAATACGAATGTCTCCAATCGACTCATACTTGCAGACATTTGAAAGTCGAATGCCATATGGTGGGTTGGCTGGCAATCCGCTCACTCAGAAACCAGTGTACTAGCCTGCACGTATTCACTGGTGTTTTGTATTCTCTTTATCAGATGCTGCTTATCAGATTTGAAACCTCAGTTATGCAATTCTTTGCACGAAAATGATTTTCGAGCACGTCTGGGCCATATTTCATGGTTTGTGGTGGCTTTGAAGCACGTCACACACCAGTTATGTAGATGATTTTTGTATAGAACAGCATTATTTCCATGCTCCCACTCCCGAGTAATACAAAACGATATTCGGAAACAAAGTGTGAGACAAGTAGTCTGGTAATTTCAGCAACATACAAAAGAGGCTTCTTTTCCATAGTTCTGTTCATCCACGACTATTTCGAGCTTCGCAATACAAACTCCGGGTTAGATTAGGGATTCGTCGTATAGACGTCCGTCATAAGTAAACAAATTGGCCGTATTTGGCTGTTGAAAATGACCTAGAGTATTTCTTTTTCCGGTACGGATATCTTTTATAATCCGCTCCGGCAAGACACGAGTAGAGAAACGTCTGGGATTAAAAGTGGCTTTAAGTTACATTTCAACGAAATTATGTTGGGGTCACGATTAGTGATCAGATTGTGTTTAGAGTTCGGTTTAAGGCTAGGGTTGGCTTAGGGATAAGATAGGGTTAGGTCAGCGTAATTCCGACCGCATTAGGAGGGGGAGGAATTGTCCTATTCCCGCATCCTTCCGGGGCTCCCCTGCGCCTTGTCGAACATGTCATTCAAATGCGGCCCGTCCTCAGTCGAGTAAAGGATTAAGGCTTCAGGCGATCGCACTATCCGTCCGGCACTTGCCCTAACTCGTGTGTTCCGGCGTACGACAGTTTGCGCAATTTTCCCGTCGAATTCTTGGAATTCCATCCGCAATAAATTTTAACGAGGGAGACAATGTATATTGGACCGACTTATAGCACCTTATGGGTCAAAATTATTGGTCATATGTGGTTATGTAGCCACAGCTGAGGTAAACAAACCTCATCCGCCTGTAATACGGGACCAGTGGTAATAGATGTTTTTACAGGTAGGACCGGGGCTTGCACAGGCGACGAGGCAAAGTAAGCGTACGCAAAAGAAAAGCTATTCGGAATGCGCGGTTGTACTGTGAGAGGTTGAGAAATAGTTTCCCTAACCCTTAACCCTAGCCCCTAACTCTAAATCCTAACCCCTAACCATAATCCCTAACTCCAACCCTAAGCCATAACCCCTAACGCCAACCCTTAGTCGCAGCTCGTAATCTTAACCCTTAAACATCCAACACGCAAATTAGAAGGAGGCGACAGGCTGAAAGTCAATAAGGACTGCCGGCATTGGACCGCAAAAGGTAGACACGGAAACAAAGAAACAAGGCCGTCAATAGAACACACACCGCAACGCACAGCAACACCATGCCAACGTAATCACACCAACTCAAAATAATTAAGTGGGTCAACAGTATTGCATCCATCATGTGCGGCTACATAACCACATCTTACCAAATCTTTCAGTCATGCAAACCGGACAGGAGGATACCTGAGATTGAGGCCTGGATTGACTTAATTTAAGGGTCCAACGCGGAACAGAGCACCCGCTTTCTCTCCTGCAACCAGATCAGGTCAGTGAAGACCACCTCCAGATGACTTCTAGACGGCGCTCGGAAAGCGTGAGCCCATATCTCCGATGGTAATGTGCAACTGAACATGTCCTGAAGTACAGGATTTCCTTCTTAATGCTTCGAACGTAGCTGTCCGATGACACCCATCATAACTCCCGGCAGGGCATGAGCCGTTGACTCCGATGGTAGTAAGCAGGTGAACATGAATTAAGGCACAGGTTTTCCTTTTAGTAAATTTCGGACATGCGTGTCCGATAAGGGCTACTAGATGCTGAATGATTATTCTTCACTTACTGACTTCGCCTCGCTAATCAAACATTTAGGAGGGACGCTGCAATGGAACTCCAAACAGAGTAGAGTGCTTGTATTCCGCCGTATCACTCTCTTGTTACTTTTGGCTTCTCACAATCAAAAAATGGTGTCTCAACGTATTGCATTTTAGCCGTACAGTGGCGTATTTATCCGTGATCGCTGCAGCTGGCTGGAGGTCTGTTTTAACCGATCGTTCATCCACTTTATTTTAAAACAATAGACAACATTTATCTGTTTAAACAAGTTATTGAACACACATAAACTGTTTACAAGTGTTAAATAACTCGTCATACTGAGAGCACAGGTACCAGCCAAAAGCCCAAACACGTGTTTCGCCGAAATTCTATCACAGCATAACGCAGATACAAGGGGTTCGGCACATCAGTGGATATTCCAGTGTTTTCCGTGTGCTTCTTGGTGTGTATTCCAATTCCCAGCGTTGAGCCCAACATGTACTCTTTAGTGGATTTGTACTTGTGATTAACGTTATCTGCGCAAATCGAGAGTCGGATATTCATCTGAAGAGGCTTTCAGTCTAGACGGTAGTCCAACCCAAAAATTGCTTTCTCTAAGTCAGCTTATGATGCTACCATGTGTTTTTATTAGTTGTATCAGGCTAATAGTATTTCGTCGTGGAAATGCAAAGACACTCCTTACTGAAGTCGTCGTATTTTGAAGTAAGTTTTCAGTAAACACTGAAACCTTGCAAAAAGGAGGTACTCTCTAGATTGTCTAATACTCAACCTGTGTTTTCGTTTGTTTAGCGGACTTCCCGCTTCTTTATTTGGTATTTACAGTGAAAGCGTCCAGAGATGCTCGTACTTCTGAGGTTCTATGTCCATGTTTTTGAGCCCTGATTGTAAAGCATGGAACTTAAGCTGAAGTGAAGAATGTTCTCTTAATAAAATGTGTGCCAATCCATTGAAGAGAGAAAATGTATAACTTTTAGGCAACACATGCCTAGAGAATATTTCTGAACAATTTCCCATTACTGAGGAAGTCGAGGAATTACAATAGAAAAAAACGCGTTCTTTCGTCAAATTGCCCTCCCACGTGATTTAACCCAACAAAATAGCAAATAATCGCTTCCGGCAGGCATAGTAACACGCATTCCAAGCCCCAAGCGTTTGAATCCCCTTCACAAGAAACTGAGTCCTATTACTGGTCGAAAAGACAAACTACCAAATCAAATGCATGCTTATACCGTCGCCTGTCCTTGGTCGAGCGCTTATGAAAAGAACGCGAAAACATCTGCTAGTGTGACCCGAAAGAAAGGGGAACGAAGTCGGTCAGCAACCTTCTCCACGCACACTAAGTAAACTTCGGACACCGTGAAATCACTAATACAGTTTTTCGGATATTCTAGGCAATGCCGAGGAAATGCCTGGAATCCCCAGGGCAGAGTCCGCTAGGTGTTATGGAGGTGACGGCGGTCTGTCTCCACAAGCTGTTGCTGTCAACGCAACATCGAGGGTAGACTGCGTTTTCTGGGACTCAGAAAGCCAACTGCTGTCCACGGGTAATTTGACCCAAGATTACCATTCGTCGTAACCTGTTGCCTCAATCGCATTTGCTGCCACCCCTCTCGTGAACAGCTGTCAGAAATGCCAACGCCTAGTCGAACCACTTAGCTCAACTCTTAAATTTACTCCGACATGCAAACTTGCCATATGCTTGTCAAAATGTAAGGGGAAATTAATGCTGGCCGAACCCCGCCAGCAAAACTTTCTCATAATTTGTGTGTCAACATAAGCAAATACATAACTCGCGCCGAAACGGACTACGCAGTAGGCGCGCTGGACCAACACGGGAGCTAGAACGGAGTCTGGCGGGCGTTATTGAGAATCCGCACCATAATGAATGCCAACATTCAGGGTATGGTGCAGGCCCAGTTTCCGGTTCATGTCACGCCAATTGGGATCCCTGCCGATGCCCCCACCCCATTAATGTTGGGTAGAATCCTGGTCAGGTGCTTGTTGTGGACCAGGGGGTGTGGTGGTGCGCCTGGGTGGGGGTCCGGCCGCGCCAGTCACCTGCAGCCTCTCCCTCCTCCGGTTCTCTTGACGTGGTCAAGACATCGGCTCAAGCGGTGGAGGAGGAGGAGAGAGTGCGGTGTATGCTGCACAAGTCTACGGTCGCTATGATCTGATTTAAGCGCAAGCCACCGGCTGCGACGGTCCACCGACAGTTAAGAAAGACAAAGGATACAGCGACGGCTATTTCCGGCTTGTAAGCCGTCGTCAGCCTGCCATATCCAGACCCAGGCTTGCGGGACCTGAGGCTCTAATCCGGGTTCTTTGGTACTTGAGCGTTAAGTAGTCCAAAGTGTTCTCTGAAGCACGCATCTGTCTAGCTGGATGCTCAATCATTGGCTAGCTTATTGAAGTGTGGGAAACAGTTTCGATTATGCCCTATGCTTATTATTTTCGCGGTTTCATTTCGGCAAATCTTTTTATTTTAAAACCTATGGAAGATGTCGATGAATTTTTTGAGTTTCGGTGGATACCACGCTTTATTGAGCGAAACGGCAAGGTCACTAGCATCCCAACGCATTGAAGATTGTGTTCACCCAAACATGCAATGCCTCTGAAGTGGAAGCTGTGCTTTGCCAGGTAAACCCTAAAACTGGAATGTGCAACTTGGCAGGATAATTATTCCAGAAAAATCCCGCATTCTTGCCAGTTGTTCGGCCTTACAAACTGCGGATAAACTACAGAACTGCAATCATGCGTGATCTATAGCACGAGTAGAGTGTTGCTTCAACGGCTCCATGTTGACCTTTGAATGATTGTAGAGCACGCAATTTGCTTTCTGTTAACTGTATTTTCGTTTCTGATATGTGGACAAACAAGCAGCTTCTAACGAAACGCAAAACGCCTTTGCCGAAATTGTTTTTTGCAAAATAATAATTCTGGGTTATGAGTGCGCCAAAAAGCCGCCTTTCCATGCCTGTGGGTGTACGCAGCAAATGAAAATACACTAATTTCTCCTGCAAAAGCATTTCTTCCGAACACGAAATTCAAGCTTTTTCACACAGAAAGGATACTCAGCAAGAAATGGCCTTTTTATAACTAGGATTTTTAGAGTAGCTTTCAGATTCGTCTTGTCAAAGAAGTACAGCGATTGCGTTCGTGAAGTAACTGCAGACGGTATTTAATGCAGCAAGCATGACGGAACCACGACCTAGGTGGACAAAATTGGGTAAATTTCGTCGGTCAGAATTATGGCTCGTTATCCTCCACTCCAGCCTCTGTTATCATAGGCCCTAATTTTTCTGTCACATTCGTGGTCTTGGAACGTCAGCCGTGGACTCCCTAGCCCTCCTAAACCACACGGCTCATAGTTTTTGTTTGTTGGACGAACTGAAGTCCTAAAAGTTGAGAAAATTATGAAAGTTTGTACAGATCTTGAGGAGTCCTTCCTTATTTCAATCTTATTCTGCAGTCCCTTGCGCCACAGAAAATGTTTATGCTTTTACATAGGTTCTGTTTTTGGCAACAATGTTAAACTTGTGCGTTGAGTACTGTGAGCCAAGTTTTTCCTTCCAAAAAATAAGTTATGGATTTCGATCCCCTGCGTGCTTTGCATATATTCTATTAATATGTACGGTAAAAGACGCTCACCGATCCCGCCGTGGGCCCTGTTTGTCCTGTTATGCCTTGCGACACGATCTCGAGGCCTTTTGGGCAGTTGCCCAGCTACCATCTATATATACAGAACGAGATAACCGACAAAGAGGAAAAAGCATTGAATAGCCATTTCGGGCTTATTAACCCCCGCCCACCAGTCATACCCGACCTGGGCTTTAAATGCGGTATCTTATGTTATTGAGTGTGGCAAACTAATATTGAGTCACGGGCCCATTGTCCTGCTGACTGAGTTCGCGAATATCATTTGTGGCGGAGGATTGCTCACCGACCAGGTTACGGAACGTACTCGTCCCGTTGTAACTTGAGAATCAAACTGGAACCCTGACAGGCGGTCACATAGCGACTAGTATTAGAGGTAGATAAGGTGGCACCGACAACGACAAGGGACACTGGAGTGACCATTTCTGACTTGTTGGCCGCCATCAACTAGCTCTACCCAACCCCAGCTGTGAAGTCCCTGTACTTCGAACCCGTGCTCTGTTGGTGAATTGTCCAACGCTCTAACCACTGCGTCAGGGGCTGCTTGTGCTGTCTGCTGCCGTCAGGTATAGTTTACTTTCAAAATGGTCCCAAACCGGACAGCATCTTTTTTGAGCCGGATTAAAGTTACTTATATACTCGCTTATGATGTGCACTAGCCAGAGTAAGTAGGCTAACTCGTGAAATATCAACAGAAATTCCGAAATGTCTTTCCGTTTCAAAAGATTAATTAAGTAGGGTTGGAAAAACAATCATCGTGCAGCATGATTCCATAATAATTCAGTTACCCTAGGACGCCGGCTTTCGAACAAACGTCTTTCGAGCTGTATTAAAAAACCATACTCCGTAAAAACGGCTGCATAATTAGCAGGCATTTTTTCATTGATTTTCGATGCCCTAAAAGATTAAATCATATTTCATAGAAAAAATACATAAAAATATTCATTCTTTTGCCGATTCTGCAGAAAATTGCGTCTTATTTCAGTTTTATACTCGAAGGAAGCGTATAATTTGGTTTTACAACACTTTTCTAATTTCCGTTTTGAACCCGACCCGTCTTTACACTTGCATTCCGGGTTCCCAAACTAAAAGCTATATAATTTTCGCGTACGGAAAACCATACATTTCTCTGCGGTATTAAGAGGAGATTATATGGGGTTCATAAAATTAAGCAGTGGGTTTGAACCACATTCTCACCTTTGCAAGCCACATTGGTAAATGCGGAGACACGACGTTTTATGAAGGGCCATTTCACATTAGTAAAAAATCTTACGAGTAGAAATTTTGTACGCTTCCTTCGAGTATAAAATGGAAAGAAGACGTACTGTTCTACTGAATGAGCAAAAGAACGAACAATTTTATGCATGTTTTCCATAAAATATGACTGAATCTTTAAGGGCATCGAAAATCAGTGAAAAAATGCATGTTAATTATTCAGTCGTTTTTACGGAATATGGTTTTTTAATGCAGCCGAAAAGACGTTTGTTCGAAAGCCGGCGTCCTGGGGTAATTGAATTATTGTAGAATTATACTGCATGATGATTGGTTATACAACCCTACTTAGTCTTTTCGAAACGGAAACGCATTTCGGAATTTCTGTTGAGATTTCATGAATTAGCTCACATACTGTACGTTGCACCGAATCCGCTAGAGCCATTAACTATTGTCGCGGATACATTTGACATGCGTTAGACAGAATCTCACTCCAAGTTAGCCCATTCTGATCCTCCGATGACCGACACGCACGGACAGTCGACTGGTACACTTAAGGGAGAAGGGTGAGGGAGACTGTCATAGGAGAATCCCCCACGAGGGTAGACATTCCTATCTGTAATAAATTTGACGCCTTTGAAGTCTAGCGATGCACCAAAAGCTGTTCGTTTGGAAGCCTGCCAATTGACGAGATAAAACTCTAGACACCAGGACACGTCTCATTTCCGCAATTCCGAAAGCTGTATGTGGCAGATGTTCGACGACACACGGGAGATGGGGGAGAGTGGTTTCGTCCTCTGGTAGTAGACCTAGTTCAGGCGCTAGGTTTTCTGACTGCAAAAAACAAGCACGTTTTTAAGCTGTGCAGCCGATGCAGCAGTCGTTGCTTGGAATGTCGCCGACTTACCGAAGAGTTCAGTTCTCCCTGAAACGCGGGTCGACCAGCACTGACGATCTAACTTGACCTTCATGGCGTTTCTACTCGTTCAGAATTTGTGGTTGTGCGTCCATAAATTCTGGTTCGTGTGGAGCAGGAAACGGCATGTGTGTGCGACCATCTGCAGTTATTCAGCCCCCGTCCTGCCGCTGGAACATGGTAGATGTGGAGACAGAACGCAGGGTAGATTCAGCACAGGCCTGCTTCGCTATTAACAGCCTTACGCGCCAGTCGGCTCTGTGTCTTCTGCAGGCCCCGTGGTGGTGGTTCTCGTCACTTGCAGCAAACGAAAGTAGTATTATGTCTGGCGGACCCAGCCGACATGGATTGGCAATATAACGACTGCCCACAACAGTCTAGTGCACACACACACAAGCCCGCGAGCGCGAACACCGGCGCCTAGTAGCTTCCGCGCCCACACGGGCACTTCCATGTTGGCAACGGTTGTATACACCTGTGCCTACCTATAGAGCCCACTCTGAACGCCTGGTAGTTCTGCTGTTTCTGTTGTTCCCCTCTGCTGCCAAACAAATGGGGAGCCAGCACTGGGGTAGTGGGGTGGTAGGGCGTGACGGGAGGAGACAAAAACACTGCTTCCTCCTGTCCATATAGTGATACCTTATGTTGGTCCCTCGGCTCACGTGTGTACACGCGCGCGCGAGTCGTTTTTACCCTTCGGCAGTGGCAATATAGCCTGCAGAACGTGTTGCTTTGGAATGCCTTATGTGTGTGCGTGTGTGTGTGTGTAAATCCCGTCCTGTTACAGGTTACTACGTTTAGTCAGTGTTTTTGCCCTTTCTAACACATTCAGGTAAGTCGGAGCTAACTTTTTACAGGACAGCTGATCCGCACGTAGCTTGAAAATGGCCAAACAAAGTGAGGGGAAATAGGAGACGAATGCGAGCAAGGAACTACCAGTACGGATCTCACCATCCTAATATCGAAGATTAGTATTCCATGACGGATCTTCAAAGGCTGATCATTTTCGGGCCGAACGAACGCGTGGCGTGATGTTTGATCGGTGTGCCATTCAGAGGTCTAGTAGAGTTCCAAGTCTCCTCATGTGTGCTCAGGTAGAGTTATCCGAATGCCAGCCCAAGGGGTTGGTTCTTAGCCAAACAGCATACACCAAGACAAGCCAACACATTCATCAGTGCGATAAGAGATACATTTGCTGTCCGCACTGTCCACGCAGATTCACTAACGGCCTATTTGGTCACATGCGCATCCCTGACAGCGAAACTCACCACAATATCGACACACAAAACATAGTTCGCACACCCAACAACTCTCCCATTTGTAGTTCTACCAACCCCTCAACCAGCGCCGCCACCTATAGCAGAATAGCAGCCACAACTGGTCCACCATTCCATAAACTATCCTGTCCGCACTGCTGCAGCAAGTGCACGTCGCGCATCGGTCCGGTGGGTCACTTGCGAATCCATTGCACAGAGACTAGCGAAATGACAGTTCGGCTGCCGTTTCCGATGACGTCCATCGTGAGCTCTACAGCAGGCTGAGAACGGGGACAGTTGTTTGTGAGCGAATTAGTTTGTAGTGATAGCAGACTTGCGCAGCATCCACCGCACTCTCTCCTCCCCCAGATGGGCTGGTGTCAAGACAGAGTCAAGGAGACCAGGATCGGGAGAGCGCGCGGGTGGCTGGTGTGGCGGGAGCCCATATCTAAGCATGCCACCACAGCGGCCCTATCCCACCGAGCGAAAGTACCATAGATGTCACATTGTAGCCCGACTCTCATTCCACCAGTCAGCCGCCCAACAAACATACATTGGACTGGCTGCAAGGTCAGAGTTAGCTCGTCAGTTGGCAGCCATCCAAGCTTCTGCTTTTCGCTCACCGCGGTAGATTCAAGTCATTTGGATTTTTTATAGTGAGTAATATGTCCTGGGACCTAACTCTCTTTTCCCGCTACCAAACACCAGTCCACGGCACAAGCCGGTCAGTTGTCTAGCGTGTGGAATGGATCCAGTGGCCGACAGAGCTAGAGGGTCCGTCTGAGTGCGCCACATGCACGACCTGGACTTCCAAATACGCACCAGGATTACATACAAAATGAGGAAGCGGCTCAGATCTCGCATGTCTGAGAGAGTGCCATCAAGAACGAGCCATCGCAGAATAACTTTCATTCTGTCAGTCAGCCACTCAACACACAATTAGCCGGGCTGCGCGAACTGAATCGAATCGTACGTTGGCAACCTTCCAGGCCACAACTTTTGGCTTACCGCAATACTCTCAGACGCGTCAGGTTGTTTATACTGAGGAATCAGACACTGAGAGTCCATCCCACTAACTCTACCCTTTCCCCTGCGTCAGTCGACAGTCCTAGACGATTATGAGAAGTTTCTGATCGAACCCAGAAAAGCTCGTCTGCGCGTGCCATGAATGCGCGTGTGAACGAATAGGCATATGCAATGGCTGAATGAGCGAGGGTAATGAGGGCAGTGGGGACGATGGTGTCCGGTGTGTGTTGGTGCTCCAGACACTGGTCCGCCAGTGTCCGTGCGGTGGATTCGCAAGTGAACCATCAGATCGATGCGTAAAGTGAACATGCGGTGATAGTGTTGGTAGGATAGGTTGGAAAATGTTAAGTCGGTTGCCGTTGCAGTGCTGCTAGTGGTGGTTGCCCTGGTGAATTGGGATTTGACTGAGCTGGGGATGGGAGAGTTGGTGGATGTGCAAGGTGTGCTAAGTATGCCCATACCACAGTGAATTCCGCTGTTGTGGATGCGCAAGTGACCGACTAGGCCCATGCGGTAAATAAATTTGCGTAGACAATGAGGATGGACACGGCCAGAATGGAAGCCGACCTGGCTGAGAGCAGCGATGCGCACCTTGTGACGTGCCGGTTCTCAACGAATATCTTCGTCCTCCTTTCCGCCTGACTGCTCTGCGGACTGTCTACAAAAGAACGAGTAATTCAGGCTGCCAGAGTGAGTAGATTCAACCTGGCAGCCTGTGGGGTGAGACGGGGGAGGTGGGAACAAGGTTGTTGTTTGTTTGATTATTTCGACCGTGAGTTGTACACGTGCGATCCACGATCTGGGTGTAGATGACGTGATTCCGCCGCATTTATATAAGACAACTTTTTCTAGCCCCTTTCCCTGCGGGGGGGGGCAGCCAGTGCTATCCCTAAATAGGACTACTTAGACATCCGGGATGGCCGCCGAACTCCAATATGGGTCAGGGTTTTGGTTAGGGACAGAGCGATCCGAGTTAGCCTGTATGCCCTACGGAATCGATAGTAGACTTGCGAAGCACCTTCCGCACTTCTCCT